TTGTTCACTGACTCTCTGTTACTGCTGGAGATCTCATATGTTCAGTTTCTAATTGAACCTTATTTATGTACACTACCAGTCAAAACTTTGGGCACACCTTCTCATTCAAAGTTTTTCCTTTATTTAAATGTGTTTTACATCGTAGATTTATACTGAAGACATCAAAACTATAAAAGAACACATATGGAATTATCTAGTAAACAAAAAAGTGTTAAAAAATCCAGAATATGATTTATATTTCGCTGGCTACTGCAGAATGCTGTGGTAGCCGTGCTGGTTAAGGGTGCCTTGAATTCTGAATAAATCACCAACAGTTTCACCAGCAGTTTTATTCTCTGATCAGAGGTAACTGATGTATTTATCCTCTGCAGCAGGGGTTCCCAACCTTTTTTCCCAAGAGCCCTCCCAAATGACTCCTGTTGGAAGTTGCCCCCACACACACAATGGGGTGGGGGGGGTGCGCAACAGCGGTAATTTAAGTTTAAAAGTCTCAAAAATGCTACAACTACTGTCACAAACTGGATGAATGTGAGGTATTTTGTTAACCTCTTAAGCACGGCGGTCCCCCCATTGGACCCCTCCCACCGTTTTTTTTTCGAGATAATGTCTCAGGGCTTCTTAACATTTATGAAACTATTAATGTGTAGCACCAGATTAACGGGAAGAATCTCAGCTAACTGAAGATATGAACCATTTTTACCAAAACAAAACACAAGTCTCATAAGAAGCGTCTAAATGACCCCTGAGCGAAAAAATTCTAACGCACTGCGGCACACAATTCAAGATAAAAATACCCTTATTACTTATCGTAGCTGCACATACAATATAGCCGATTAAAGCTGAGACTCCACTGATTATTTAGGTATAGTATCATCACTGAGCGATCCGAACTTGCGACAGGGGAAGCAAACACAGACATCACAACACGTACCTTTACGGAGCTTTTACGGCAGATCGTCTCACCGTAGCTGTCAATTAGGTCAAAAGACGTGTTCAATGGCATTAAAACGAAAAAAAAAAATGCTACAACTGTTGATCCATAGGTTGATAATGTACCTGTGCCTTTGAAAAAATTATTTATAATCCATAATTCCATTTTTTATGTAAAAATCGGAGCGGAAAAGTTAGCTGCTAATGGTAGCCACCAGAGTGTATGCAGCTTCCGGTTTTGGTAACGCGTCACTCTCACTCCTTATTTGTTAACGTTTTGGTGTGTATATAACTTTCCCTCGATTCCATTGGCTCTAGCGGTTATAAAGAGATTTCATTCATCAAAATCGAGCAAGGGGGGCCAGAGATAGGTCAAATCCACCCAAATGACCCCAGAAGTGGGTTTTTTTGGCTAAATCTCTCTAAAAAGGTCAAATTTCACTTGTTTTGCATCAATCTTGATACAGGGTACTTATATGTTGTACTTTGGATTCCTAAAGCTTTTAGTCTACTAACCCATCATCCAAGGGTAGTTTTCACTATAAGTAAAACATTATTTTTGGACGGACACTATAATTTACAGTTTTTTTACTATGTAAAATCTGAATTTTCTTTAAAATAAAAAACATCTATATTGATTCTGACTTTTCTACATCCAACTCACAGGTTTATCATTACTTTGAGAAAAAAGATTATTAATTTAACCCTTTTAGAAGGGAAGATATGGTCATTTGTTCTGGGAATGTCATTTTCGAGCCTGAGACCTGAAAAACAGGCTCAGGGCTTAAGAGGTTAAAAATAAACCTCTTTTTTGTGAATAACTGAGTTTGGGCAAGTTAATAACATTTTAATGAAGTTGACTACAGTATATTCATATTTGTCAGTGCTTTCATGTCAATTCGGCAAACATAAACATAAATGATCGTGGTGAAGATGATGATTAAATTAGGATTAAAAATCGGTAGTGAGAGCCGTGCTGCATTTCCTCCTGTCGGATGTGATATAAAAACAAACCTGTTAGGTTGCGTGGAAAAGGTAGGACCCAAATGCAGACTACAAAAAGAGGTAACAGGTCTATAAACAAAAACGAGCTTTATTACAAAAGCTGATGACAAAAAACATGACTTGAAACAAAACGAAAGCACAAGGAAAAAACATTTACCGAAAGACTAACCGTGACTGACATGGAGGGAGACAGGAAAAACCAACAATGAACCGACAGGGGAACACAGGAAGAGACAAGACTAAATACAGGGAGGGAACAAGAAACAGCTGGGTAAAGGAGGGAGAAACACAAGGCAACAGGTGAACACAATCAGACAATCAGACACACCAGGGAAACTAACGACAGGGAGGAAAACACAGGAAGAAGGACCAGACAAGAAACAATGAGGAAAACATTTCAAAACAAAAGGTGGAAAATGAAAACATAAATACAAAACCGTAACAGAACCCCCCCCCCCCCCCCCCCCCCCCCCCCCAAGGGACGGATTCCAGACGTCCCAAAAAAAAAAAAAAAAAGTCCAAAACCTCTAGAAGGGTGGGCGGAGGGGGCCCGGAGGAGGGACGCACAACCAGGGCCAAAAGGGTGGGTGGAGGGGGTCCGGAGGACGGGCCCGGAAGGGGTCCCGGGCGGACGGCCCGGGGGCAAGGCAGAGTCCAAAAAGGGGCAAAGGCCACAGCGGGCGAACTCAGGGACCCGGGCATGAGAGCGAAGGCAGCGGCTGGAAGAGTCAGGAGGCCGGGCTCGAGGGCGAAGACCACGGCTGGGGAACTCAGGAGGCCGGGCAGGAAGATGCTGAGGGGACAACTCCGGAGGACGGGCAGGAAGGCGCTGACGGGACAGCTCCGGAGACCGGGCAGGACCCGTTGTCGACGGAACAGGCGTAGACGGGATCCTGGACATGACATGGACCGGTGTCAACGGGACCCCGGACGGAGCAAGGGCCGGTGTCGACTGGACCCCCAACGGAACAGGACACAGAGTTGGCAGGACCCCCCTGGTGGATCCATGATCCATTGCAGCTGGTTTCATTATAATTTAATGTATTTATCAAGGGGGGGGGAATCAAGTCCTGCGGGGGGTTTTCCTTTCAGCAGGGGCCCACCCCATACCGATCATGAGCCCACATAGGTAGAGGCGTCCGAAATGAGGTGCTACATCTGTATGCCAGGGGGGTCCTCATGAGAGCCAGTCTCATCATAGCGTTCGATGGTTTTTGCGACTGCACTTGAGGACACATTCAAAGTTCTTGACATTTTCCGGATCGACTGGCCTTCATTTCTTAAAGTGATGATAGACGGTCGTTTCTCTTTACTGAGTTGAGTGGTTCTTGCTATAATATGGATTACAACAGCAGTCAAATAGGGCTTTCCACTGTGCACTAACTCTACCTCTGCTCAACACAACTGATGGTCTCAAACACATTAAGAAGGCAAGTCATTCCACACATTGACTCTTGACAAGGCTCACGTGTTGATTGAAAACCATTCCAGGTGACGACCTCATGAAGCTGACTGAGAGAAGCCAAGAGTGTGCAAAGCTGTCATCAAGGCAAAAGGGGGCTACTTTGAGGAATCTAAAATAAAAATCATATTCTGGATTTTTTTTTAACACTTTTTTGTTAATTAGATATTTCCATATGTGTTCTTTCATAGTGTTGATGTCTTCAGTATTAATTAATTAATATTTATTAGAGAAAAAAAAGGGAAAAAAACATTGAATGAGAAGGTGTGTCCAAACTTTTGACAGGTACTCTATATTAAAAACTTGCATCCATAAAGTAGTAACAGTCCTTTTCTTTCTATTTTCATTTTCACATACTAAATGAAGAACTGCAGACATAAATGCTGAATGTTTTTTAAAGGAACTGTAATAGATGTTAATTGTTGAAAGTAAATCTATGTATTTAATATTTAGTAAATGATAACGTCTATATCAGGGGTTCCCAAACTTTTCAGCCCGCGACCCCCAAAATAACAGTGCCAGGGACTGGCGAGGGGGGAAATGTCCACTTCAGTAGCACTTACATACAGCAAACCTTCCAGTTATATTCCTATCAATATTCTGAAGGTTTTTACAGAAGGGTTTGTTTATATATCATTCATAGCCTGAATTATATAACATTTTATACCTAAAAACATGGAGAACATTTATATTTTATGGCTGTTACCAGTATTTTCTGATTTATGGAGTGATACAAAGAGATATCCAAAATCCCTTCTGTAAAAGCCTTAGATTCTAATATGACTACAAAATTAAACAAGAATTTCGAAGCTGGCTTTATCCAATGTTCAGAATTGTGTTAAAATACGTGCATATTTAATGAGATTATGGCTCATTTGCATGGGGAGGGGGGGTGCGGTGCCCCTACAAAATAGAATCAAATTATGTGGGAAACACTGAATAATAATAATAATAATTAAAAAATAATAATAATAATTCTTTTATTTTTAATCATCTCGCGACCGATCATTCAGTCTGAGGAGCTGCAGGTTGTCAGAGATCAGCTGTTCTGCTCTGATCTCAGCTCTGAAGTCCAACCCCTCCCATCTGAGAGATCTGAACCTGAGAAACAACGATCTGCAGGATTCAGATGTGAAGCTGCTGAGAGATCTTCTGGAGAGTCCAGACTGCAGATTGAAGACTCTCAGGTCAGTAAGGGGTCTCTGCTGGTTCAGCAGTATTGTATTAAACACAGGGAGGTGTTTCTCTCTCTGGGGAATCACAACAGATCAGTGATGTTACCCACTGACTGCAGGCTCTTTCATTCTTCCATCAACTATAGAAGGCCAGCTGAAAATGCAAAGCCAAACTTTAATAAGTAATCAACTTTCTAACAGACATATGGGGTTTTACTGAAGAGTGGGAAAGGTAGTCTCTTTTTGATGGGATGTTTCTAGTTTCTAATGAGCAGTTACTTCCTGCATTGTAGCTGAGAGCTGTGGCAGTCAGTCGTAGAGTTTGCAGGGTAGATATGATGGGATGTAAAGCATGAGATCAGGACTCTGAAGCTGACTCAAAGAACAAACACTTATTTTAAACTGGATCTAAAACTGTTGGGTTGTGTTCATCCCTACAGGATCAATGGAGAGACGATCAGAGCCAAGATCCAGAAGACCTGTGAGTACTGAAACCATATCCTCCATTCATCAAGATATTGTACTGATCTTAAAAGGTCTTTATAGAACAACAACAATATATTTTAATTCCCTTTTGTTACAGCTCTATTCAATCATTTTGGCTGCTAATGTTTCTCTTTGTTAAAGTCTAATTATTATTTTTCTGTGTCACCTCTTCTCTCCATCAGGTGACTCCGATGAAGAACAGGAAGTGAAGACAGACAGAAAGGTGAGAGAGGAGCAGTTGTACAGAGTGAAGTGTATTGATTTCACCACTGAATTCAAATATAATTATTAGGGCTGTCCAGTTAAACGTTATAACGCTTGCATTTGATCTAGATACCTGAACGCGTTGAAAGAAAATCACATTACCAAGTTCGACCCTACTTCCTGTTACACCAGCACGGACTTTAAGTATGGAAGTGAAAAGGCAAAGAGAGTGGAGGGATCTAATACCTGTACAAGCTACATGTGTTGCCTTCAGTGAGAGCCATCACTTCTTCGCTATAACGGCACACCTCATCCATGACTAACTACTACTAACTACTACTAACTACTACTAACTACTACTAACTCGTTCTTTAGGTGGCTGATAACGGAAGGAAGGCATTTTGATGAAGCATGTTCCAGGTTGTTGAAGTTGCACAGGAGAGGATGGAGGACAGGGTCACCACTGTAGGAACAGATAGTTCTCGCAATAAGGTTATCATTGAAAGAATGACCGGGAAGATTTCAATTTACTGGAGAAATGGGAAATATTCCTGCCGACTATTATCTGAGTTTATTTAGACTTATATTAACTTAAAAACAATTGATAAAGAAGGCTTTATAAAGACTGACATCATCAAGAAATGTAGATTTAGATGTATTAAAATAGTTATATTATAATAGAGAAATTCAGGCCTACATAACCGCTGAGCGCTGTCAGGGATGAAGAGCAATTTGCACTGCAGCTGCTGAGCTGCTTACTATGTGACCAGGTACGAGACCACAGATTATCATTGTGATTAAAGCCATCACATGTTTTAATTGATCGAGACTGCTCGTAGTTTTTTGTAATTGTTTGATGGCATCAAGACAATTCTTTGAGCTCTGGTTTATTTACCGTTTATTTAATGCTGGTGTGTTTTAGGGATGGGAATGATTATTCTAAATTATTCAGGTATTCAATTATGAGTTATGAATATTGTTATTTAATTTAATACTTTTTGTTGTTGTTTAGTTTTGTAATGGGAGGTGTGCCTAAGAGGATTACATATCACCAAGTTGAATCATTAAATGTATATGACGATGCCATTTCAAATATGAATATCATAAACAGGATTGGTGTCAAAGTGCAGCATCCGCAGCACCTCCCACAGTATCTCCCTGGGAACCCGGTCATACGCCTTCTCCAAATAAGTTAAAGAGACACTCCGCGTGCAGCAGTGTAGCAGCCAAATGAATAATATAGAGACAAGCAGGAGACAACGTGTGACTTACTTGAGGGGAATTTGAAGTTAAATGGAATTGGTTGCAAAACCTAATTCCACATCTCCGGTGTGGGAATATTTGGGATTTAAGCCAAATCAACGAGGCGAACCTACGGACTTGAATGAGCCGGGCGGTGTGTCGTATTTGTTTTAAAAAGGTAGCAACAAAAGCTAGCAATACGACCAACCTTAAACTGCACCTGAAACACAACCACCCCCAGTGGCGGCGCCAGGGTATGGCTGGGGTAGGCTACAGCCATACCAAGAAATGGCTTAGCCCCACCATGAAAAATGATGTTAAAGTAAGCAAAATAAAGTCCGCCAACTCGCGCGGAGTAAATTGCACAGACAGCAGTTAGTAAGATTGATTTCAGTAGTCTTCTGGAAATACCGAAGACTAGAAACGGTTTTGAAAACTTTTGTCACGTAGTGATCGTCTTCTCAATAAAACATCTTTGATAATGTCTTCTGGCCAATCAGAATCACGATAACGGCGTGGTGTTGTTGCAGGAAGTCCCGACGGAGAATACTTTTGCTGTAGTACATCTCTATAGAGTGGCGAAGTCCCTCCCCTTCCGGTGGACCTCCATGGGACCTTATTTCGGAAAAATTATGTATTGAAGTCAATGGAGAGAGAAAGATTATCTTTCGATCCCGTTTGAATTGTGCCACGAATTACACATATGATGTTTGTCAATTTAAAAGATAATTTTGCAAGTAAAAAAAAAAAAAATGTGTCGTAAAACTGTGAAGTAACACATTTGTTTGTGTGAAACGCTCAATGAACTACATCTCTGGTCAACAACACACGTCACCAAGATGGCCGTCACTACTGTCTTGTCAACAAAACGATTGACTTCCCTCACTATCACCACAATGAAACACGTCCTGAAGAATGTCATGCAAAGCTGCCTGCCTGCCTTCCTTTGATTCTCTCTGAACTGCCTGGTCGTTTTAATGTTTAATGTCAACCATTTGTGCAGATAGCATGAAGTAGAGAAGATCGCTAGCGTTAGCGTTAGCATTTCTCCCCCGGGCTTAAATGGTGTATTATAGAATGATCACACCGGTGACAGTACTATTCAAAGGGTTCACGAAATATGACTACTACTCTTACTGTTTAACATTTTGGGTTACTTAATGTTACTTCATGTTAAGGCTAATACAAATGACAAGGCTGTAATGCTAACTAACGTGCTAGCTACTAGCTAGCTTGATCCAGACACTCCTAGTCTTTTCATCAGACGGGAAGCAAAAGAACGAGCAAGACCCATTGCTGGTATAATAACAACCTGGTACTAAGCACACAGGCATCTTGTTAAAGTTATCTTATCTTAGCCAGCGCCATATAGATAAATTATATCTATATGGCGCTGATCGTAGCTATCTCTTAGTGGAGGAAAACAATTGTGACATCACTTACGCGACTCTGGGATTTGTAGTCTTTCTAGTTGCGTATTTTTCATAGTCTTATATTTCAACAGTTTTACGACAAACTGTGACTTTTTTGACATGGAAATGATTTTTTAAGATTGACAAACATCATATGTGTAATTCATGGCACAATTCAAACGGGATCGAAAGATACGTTTTCTCTCTCCATTGACTTCAATACATTATTTTTCCAAAATAAGGTCCCATGGACCGGAAGTAGATGGGCGTGACTTCGCCACTCTCTATACATCGATACAACGTGTTGATAGAAATCAACACGTAATGAAATAAGACCCCACGGTTTGATGATTGATAGGTGTGTGGGCTGTCTTTCATTTTGACACACAGAACAATGGGGGCTATCCACCCTTATCCACAATGTAAAGTAATTCACACAGCCTCTTCCCTCTTCTCTCTGTGAGGAGCAGCAGGTTCAGCTTTCAGAACAAAGTAACAAAAAACTCAAATGGCATTCATTTTTTTAAATGTGTAGTAATAGATTTATTTATTTTTCTTCTCAAGAGAGTACCAGAATGTGTATTTTATGTTAGTATTTCAAAAAATCTCACAGGTTTTCAGCATGTCAACTCTTTCACCTGTGGGGAAATTGCAGGATTGGCTCCAGGTCGCCCTTTTTATTTACTACAAGACAAATGTGCCTTTTTATTTCATACAGTTCAATTTGGATTGAGACAGGGAAATAATCTAAACCTCACGCGTGGCGTTTCACTGTCAAGGGGGGCATGTATGTAATTACATTGCAAATACTGACTTGAGCCCCACCACTGTATGGGTTAGCCCTACCATAGATTACCCAACAAAAATACTCCGCCACTGACCACCCCATTCTGTTTTCCCAGCTGGGAGCAAACACGGCAGCTGGACCTTCCCGACAGTTTGCAATCAAAGATGCATTTGCCCGACAATGCAAATACAAACGCAACAAGCACTAGCTCAGAGAGAATGTTCAGCACAGCTGGCAACATTGCTACCCCAGAGAGATCCTGCCTTAAGCTGTCACGATCTGTCTGTGTTGTGTTTTGTCTTGTCTTTTTCTGGTTTCCTGTTTTGTTTTGAAATGTTTTCCTCGTGTCTTCTCTGTTCCTTCTTCCTGTGTTTGCCTTCCTGTCTTAGTTTCCCTGGTGTGTCTGATTGTTTGATTGTGTTCACCTGTTGCCCTTGTGTTTCTGCCTCCCTTACCCCAGCTGTGTCTCGTCTTGTGATTACCCCTCTCTGTATTTAGTCTTGTCTCTTCCTGTGTTCCCCTGTCGGTTCATTGTTTGTTTCTCCTGTCTCCCTCCATGTTGGTCACGGTCAGTTTTCTGTAGAACCTATGTGTTTCATGCCATGCTATTGTTAAGCTTTAAGAATAAAGCTCGTTTTTGTTTCGAGACAGTTTACCTTTTCTGATAGTCTGCATTTGGGTCCTACCCTTCCACGCATTCCTTACATAAGCCCCACGAGGTAAACATGTTGGTGTTCCTTGCTCGAAATCTTTGAAATACAGATTTGGATATGGCCTGTTGAGGCATCTGGGTTAGTGGATGTTTTGGTCATTGGATTTTCTTTTCACAAAACAAAAAACGACTGGATATTTAATTTTCGTTTTAAAATTGAAAAATAAAATTGAAATACAAGGCGTTTTTCTTTATCATGGTCAAAAAGGGATTTACTAAACTTAAAACACGGGATGATTTTCATTTACTACTTCTCAAAACTAAAAATAAAACCACTAGTAAACAAATATGGAAAAAACCCAGTTTTTTTCATTTGCCAATAACTTTGGTTAACACAACCAAAGTTATTGGCAAATTGCATGATTTTTTGTAACAAGGCTATTTTTGTCGATATATTTTAGAATTCCAATTTGAATTGTTCTTATGGTTCTATAATTCACTGTGTACACAATTGACTACCCTAATTGACCATTCGGGAAAAAAATGGCCACTGCCAAAAACTTTGATAAAAACATGATATTAAAATATCTTTTCACCACTTTTTTGGGTTCAATCTTTAAAGCAACTTCAGCCCTAATCAAAAATACCAAATATTTTATAATTTTCAGGATTTTAACCCTGTAAATGCCATTTTGAATACCTGAAATCACTGTTGTTTTTCATGATAAAAACACAGAAAATGTGTTATTTTCCGTATAATACATATCTGGAGACTGGCTTTTTATTTGTATTATAATGTAATATAAAGAAGAATTGTTTTATAATATTCTGTGCAGAAAATTGCGTGAAAATACGTGGAAACTTTATTAATACAGCAGATGAAAATATTTGGGGGAGGATCAATTCTTCATGGGTTTCAATGGCTC